CATAAAACAGTGCTTACAGTTTTTCAGGAATAATTTGGCCAAAAAGTAAAATCTCAATTAATGTTACATCGAATCCTGAGAATCATTAGGCGCTTCCATCGAGGCTAGAGTATAATTTCCTGTAGCTGAAATTAACTTCCTTGATTTTAACTGGATTATAATCAGTCATGTCTCAACACTTGGTATATTATCAACACCCTGAATCATTACCTCTGAATCTATTTTTATTCTGGTTTCATTTACTTATTTGAAAAGTTGATACCAGTTAGACTGTGTTAGTTTATAAAAAGCAATAAAATATATGTCTAAAATAAAGTTCATGTTATAAAGAAAGTCTTTTACTTTTAAAATAAAAAATATATCAGATCTTTAAAACAATTATAGGTGGGGAAATATAGCTGTGTTAATAAAAATTATTTTTTTCTATTACTATGTGACATACTGACAAAAACATAAGGTTACAAGAAATTGCCTGTTGGCATATTAACTTTTAAATAGTTGCATTCTTGGCCAAAAGTTTAGGTTTTGAAAAACAGCACCTAAAATGAATAATTTAGGGAAAATTATCTTCTTTTGAAGGCATTATAAAATGTCAAATATTCTAATAGCAGTATTCTTTTAAATAATGAAACTAAGACATATGCTAGTGACAAATTTCTTTGCTTAGAGTATTTTTTAAATACTTTTTACATATCAGTAAACTTGAACAGATAAAAGTAAAAGATCAACATTAAACAGTACAAATGCACTAAATAGAAATCATTGTCTAAACAATGTAACATAACCTTAAATCTCTGGAGAAAACTAAGTTGTACCTTTAATAAATATTGTTAATATAATAGTATATGTGAAATTACATATGAAAGCTATGTCAGTAAATGAATTCAAATGACCTGAATTGATTTTATTTTTTCATAAAGCCTATTTCTAATCTGATTTTTAAATAGAATCAATAATTTGCAGCTTTTCAGGTTATTGAACATGGCAAAAAACATGCTATAGAAAAAATATTTCATAGCACTTGAAAGGTTAGCATTTCTATAGCACTATTATAAAAGTACTGGTACTTTAAAGTTTACTGTAGATTGTACATTACATTTACTAATCTTTGTTTCAAAAATGTCTGGCATCTGGCAAAGCAAAGTAGACAGTAAGGCATGCTTATGTGCAAAGGTACCAGCTATAACAGAAGCCAAGAAGTTAAACATATTTTTTTTATTTTATTTTAATCATTGTTCAAGTACAGTTTTCTCCCACTTACTCCCATTCCAGCCCACCCACCCAACCCTCCCCTCTTCCCTGCACTACCGAAGTTAAACATATTTAAAGAAGGATCTATACTTACATTATGATTACAAACTCTTAATTTCTTCATAAAGGGACCTTAACTCCTAACTGAGGCAGATAAGACTAATGGAAACATCAACATCCTATTAACACAGGTGTAATATCAAGGTCTTCTCCCAAAGGCAATTGCTTATGCAGACAAGTAACGGGGAGGAGGGGGACAGGATGGGATGGGGGTGGGAGGGAGAGAATAATCAATCATTGGCTCCTTGTATGAGTTTCTTTTCCCAAACAGGTCTTACCTCAATGAGAACTTACATTTATACAAACAACATTTTGGGGGGCATAGGCATCATTTCAAAGGTTTTGAATACTGCCTTGCCTTTTACAACAGGTCAAAAATCTGACTTATTGGGCCACAGTGTGCAGTGTGGGCGAGGCTGAGACGAAGACTGAGGTGTGCAAAGAGGTCAGGACCAGCCAAGGGACCCGCCCCGTTCAGTCCACATGTTCAGAGTTGCAAATAGAGCTGAGTTTTATCTAGAAAAGGAAGTGTACTAAGCTGTCCTCTCACTTTACTATCCAATTTTAAAATTTATGAAATAGATCGCATTTTTAGACTTTATTTCCCTTTGCATGTCTGATTAATTCAAAAGTGTTGTGTAACTTTGTGGAAAAAATAAATGTTAACACGGAGCTAATAGACGAGTGTTCCACAGGATTTCTTAAAAAAAGGACTTCTGACAAACCATATAGCATTTATGTAAATAATGATTTGAAGGACTTATAAAACTGTAAGAAGGTAATAGTTACAGTAGAACACCAAGATGAATTTGAAATGAATATAATCACTGAACATGACTAATGTTGATGGCGTTATAGCTACCTGCAAACTGGCAAAGCTATAATATATGCATTAAGGAAAGCTGAGTTTTAAAAATAAATAATTTCAAAATATTGACTAAAACTAGAATATTGTGTCAGTGCAGTATAAGATTCTTCATCATGTAATTATCTAGAATATGCCAAACATTTAAAGATTTTATTTACTTTTAGAGAGGGGAAAGGAGGGCGAAAGGAGAGAAACATCCATGTGTGAGAGAGATACATTGATCAACTGCCTGTCGCGCGCCCCCTACTGGGGACCTGGCGCACAACCCAGGCATGTGTCCTGACTGGGAATATGAACCGGCGACCCTTGGGTTCGCCGGCCGGCACTCAATCCACTGAGCCACAGCCGCCAGGGCAAAACACAGGTTTTTTAAACTAAAAGAAAATTGGACTTACCTCAAAAGGCATTTTGGTGTGGGATATGCTAATTGCAGACACATCAGAAGCAGGTGTATCTGGCAAGAAAATAACACAAAACTTAAACCCACAGTTAATTTCTTCCACTCCCGCTTTATAGCTCCTGTGTCCTACAAAATGCCCTCTCATTAGTCACCCACAGCCTGTTCTACTTACACCTCCGGTATTTCTCGCTATTGATACGAATCACCTGGCACAGTTAAAAATAAAAATGGCAGGACGCTCCTGTAGATAAGATTTTCATGGCTGAAGGTGAGGCTCCAGAACCTGATTTTCACAGGTGTCTCCAAGTAATTCTTTCAAAACGAGCAAGAGGCTGGCCCCAGATCTTCAGAGTTCCTCTATCAAGGGCGTCCAACCTGCAGCCCTCGGGCCACATGCAGCCCAGGATGGCTATGAGTGCGGCCCAACACAAACTTGTAAATTTACTTAAAACATTATGAGATTCTTTTTCTGTGATAACGTGTCACAATGTATATAGTGTGTGGCCCAGAGAAGCCAAAAGGTTGGGCACCACTACAACACTGATCTGCCTCGAGGGCTAATTAATCCTCATCTGGATGTTATAGGCTTTAGGGTATTTGAAAACAGGAGCAGGACCAGCTGGGAGAAAGTAGGACGGTGTCTTGTCATCTTGGGTTTCCCACACTCTCAAGGAGTGGTCAAAGAGGGGGAAGAGTTTAGTTGGGATACGGCGGTGAACTAGGACACGGCCAGGGGGCAGCACCGAGCTGACCTGCAGGGTTGGGGATTTTTTATTTCACCGTTACCACAGAAAATGGTTGCACCTACGTTTCTGATGAAGTCAGATTTTTTTAAGCACTTAAAATACACATATAAAAGATGTTAGCATGTAATTTCCACACTCTTCTCTGTAGAGGACCTTTATAGACAGCTATTAGAGAAAAAAAGTTCCTTTAGTAGCATCGCACCTGAATCAAAAAATTGTACTAGACTACAAAGATCCCAGGTGTTCCAAAGTGGTGTTACAAGTCCTCTATTTGCAAGGTTCCCACTCGTTTAACTGGCATTGCAACTGGGAGCTTTCAATGGTTTCAATAAAATCTTTAGAGTCCTATTAGATGGGGGGAAATGGGGTGGCAGTTTGGGCAAGTGATGCCAAGGGGGTTTTGTTGTTGTTTTTTTTCTCCTCACACTTTTTCAAGTGAAGTTGAAATATTGCCACCACCTGTCCGAAAACTACCCCCCTCCCCCAACGCCATCCTACCTCCCAAGTTTTCTTGGGCTCGCCCCACTTTCTCCAGTTCACATTTCTTCCTTGTAGAAAACGTAGAAGAAAATTCCTCTGGTAAACCCATGTAGCTTCTACAAATATCACCACCAAGGGCATTTTTCCCTCTGAAATTCCACCACTAGATTTGGGCAAGAAACATTGAAAGGGAGGGAGGGCGGGCGTGAGGAAGGCTTACTATTTCCCAGCCTGCGAAAGTGAGACACTGCCCACCTAGATACGCCTGTGTCTGAGAAAGGATGGTCGGGGCCCGACCTTTGACGTCTTTCCACCCACAATTTCTACCTTCTAGGTAGAAACGCCGAGGTGGGAGGAGGAGAGGCCCGAATGACACAGACATTCCTGGAAGGCCAAATGGACCTAACTAAAAACAACGAAGCACCCCCCCAATAAACAACAGAACCCCCCAAACTAATCAAAACCTGCTTTCGAGGACCTATGAGAACACGACGACTCCGTGTTCCAAACTTTTTGAGTATTCTAACAAAAATGTCAGTGTCAGGAGCCCATAGGAAAATGGCTACCTTTTTTTTTTTTTTTGGCCATGTTCATTTAGGTTGAACTGATGGTGAGTACAAATCACGGAGCTACCACGAGCCCCGAGGCAACCTCCGGACGGCGGTGCGCACGTGCGCGGAGTCCCGGGGCCGCGAGCCCCGCGTGCTCTCCCGAAGACCGTCCTGCGCGCCAGGCGGAGGCACGCACGCCGAGTCCCTGGTCGTGGGGGTGGCGTGGGGGCGACTCCTGGACGAAATGTCTAAAAAGGCTCCTTGAGGGCAGTCACAGAAAGGAATTTCTGACAGGCATCCCGCACCCGGGCCTCAGAGACCTCAGGACGCCGCGCCGGAGCCAGCGCCCACCCCCCTCCGTGTCGCTGGTCCCACGTCCAGGGCCTCGCACTTGTTGCGCCACCCGCGCCCCTGCGCCGTCCGCCCGGCGGCTCTCGCCCACGCCGCGAAGCCGGCGCTCCTGGGCACCCGCGGCCGCCCAGTCCCCGCCCCGCCCGGAGGCCACGGGCTTCTGGACCGTGCCTCAGCTGCGCGGCGGGCGGCGGGCGGCGGGCGGCGGGCGGGGGCGCGCGCGGAGGCCGGGCGCCAGGGGCGGGGGCGCGCGGGGGCCGCGGGGCCAGCGCGCAGGCGCGACGGCGCAGGCGCGGGCCCGGCAGAGCCGGCGGCGCGAGGCGCTGAGGAGAACCCGGGGCGCGAGCGGGGCGGCCGCCGCCGCAGAGCCGAGCGAGCGGAGTCCGGCGGCAGGTACGCGTCCCCTCAGACAGCGCGCCGGGCCTCCTCCTCGCGCTGGGCCGCGGGCCCGGGAGTCGTGCGGTCTCCTCACGCCGGGCGGGGGGCTGCGGGGCCGGCGGGCCGGGGGGCCGGGGTGACCGCTGACCTTCATCCCGCGGGCCGGGTGCGTGCGGCCGCCGGGGACTCGGCTCCGGCCGCGGACCTGCCCGCCGCCCGGCGTCCCTGCTCGTTTCCGCAGCCCTCAGGGCTGGGGCTCGGGTCCGGCCGCGCTGCCTGACGCGCGCCCTCGGCCTCCGCGGGCCGGCTTGCGTGTCCCTGCAGCCCGAGGCTGCGGAGACCCCTGCAGGGCCGGCGGGCGTGCTCCGGCCTCGGCGGGCGGAGGAGGGGAGCGCACCCGGGGGGCGGCTCGCCCCGTCGCGGTGGCTCCTCGGGCGCCGCGCCGCGGGACGGGCTGCGGGGACGTGGACCCCCCGGGGGGCGGGCGCGCCGACGCCCGGGGCGCGGAGCTGCCACCTGTTGGAGGCCAGCCCCCAGGTGTCGCCGTCCCGCGCCGGGCCCGCGCCGCCCCTCGCGTCTCCCTCAGCGCCGCCGAGCCGGTGCGGCGACCCGGACGGGCTGAGGCGGCCACAGACCGCAGTCCACACGGGCGGAACCGCACACGCTGTGGGCCGAGTTTCCCTCGGGGTGCGCGTTCCCCGCTCCCCTGGCTCCTCAGCTGGCTTCCAGCCCCAGCCCCGGCCCCGCCGGCCGGCTGGGTGTCGCTGCTTCTCTTTGTGTTTCCCCCGAAACGCGGTGGGGAGAGGAGCGGGAGCCGCTGGAGGCGCCCGCGGAGGACGCTACCACGAGGCGTGGGGATGTGTGTGGCAGCGGGACGGTGGCCGCTCCCCAAACACAGCCGCGGGCCGCACGTCCCCACGAGGACCGCACACGGTGTGACTGCCCGCGTGCGCCCCACACCGAGGCGGGAGCCGTCTGTGCTCCGTCCCCCGGAGCCCTCGCACGCGCCCTGCGACCTTCGCGGGGAAGACGCCGAGCCCCGGAACGGTTCGCGCGCCTGCCCAAGGTCACCGTCAGGGTCAGGGCAGGCAGGCAGGCAGGCAGACTCCGGCGCCCCGAGTGCTGGGGGTGTCGGGGAGCGTGGGGGGCGCCGTTGACCCCGCGGCCGCCGCGCCGTCTGCGCTCGCATTGACGTCGGGCTTGTGCCTCAGCACGCGGCGCTGGGCGTTCCACCTCGTCGGGGCCGCGCCGACCTTGGTGGCTCGGCTCTGACTGCGAGACACTGTCGTCTTACGGCGGGTGCGTGTGGAACTGTTCGAGGCGGCGGCGCAGAGTCTGAGAGAGCCGGAGTCCAAGACGACTTCCACTGAACTCTCCCAAGCAAGCAGGGAAGTTCAAAGCGGAGTTTCCCTTCGGATTTAAGTCTCTAAAAATGTACACGCGTCAGGTAGAACAAATATCTCCTGCTTTTCATTAGCGAACCCTACCGCAGTCCCCTTGCCCGCCCTGCACACCGGGCTCGGGTCTCACCGCCAGTCCCAGGGCACCGCTGCTGCCGTAGGAACCCGCAGGTCGTACGTCGTCGTAATCCATAGGGTGCTCACCCCTGGACCCTCATCCAGTCTGGCTCTCTAGTTGCAGCAGTTGCGCATTCGAAACTCTTGGAATTTGTGCTTTTCACTATAGGTGTACATTTAAACTTTTTTTTTTGCAAGTGCATTATTTATTACTATTACATGAAATACTTTTGATTTCCATTCATATGTTTTTCTCTTCTTGGTGGCAGCCATAGCAAAGGTTTTAGTGTTATTTAGAAATTGGCTCACAACCCACGATTTAACCCAGGTCCTTGCCAAACTGAAAAGGGTTGGAGTTCACCAGTGACACCCACTGTAGGACCCTCACCTGCGGTCCAGGTCTCATCCGAGACCCCTAGAGCTCCCTTTTGCCCTGTTTGCACTCAGTTTCCCCATAGAGAAGATGTGGGGGTGTCTAACGTTAGATCACACCAGGTGCCTTGGGTGCAGAGTGTAAGGGAAGCTGCCTGGTTCTGATGTGGGAGTCAGTCAGGAAGTCACTTCTGCATGAACAGGAGCCTAGACTGAGATTTCTGGTGGCAAATGGAACATGCACTCATTTGTAAAATGTTCAAATATCACATAAATATAGAAGATGGAAGGTCAGTAGTTAGAATCTGATAATCTCACTCCCCAGCATCATCCACAGTAATGGTTTAGTGTGGAGTCCTCCAGGTTGTGAATGTGGATACTAAAATATTACTGTTTGCCAACAATATACATAGTTACACACTGGTTTGCAGTTTCTTGTCTTGCACTTGGTAATGGACCTTGGCTCTCTTGGAGGCTCTTGAATGGTATACTTCTAGTTACCTTTTATTCAGCCACAGTGGGAACCAGATGAAGGGAGCTGTGTAACCAGGATGTGAGGAAGGAAACTAGTGTGCGGTGGGTAAGGACACGGCCTGAGCTGTGTCCTGTGATAGGTAGTTCTCACATTCTGTAAGTCCTGTAGCCTTTTGCTGTTACCCCTTGTGGTCAGCTGTTTGAAGCTGAGGAAAGGGGAGCCTGAGGGACATGATGGAAGGACAGAGCTGAGACTCAAGTCCAGGTCATTGTAACTCAAACTCTACTCTTTTTCCTTCTAATTGCACAGTGAGGAGTGTTCTGCCCTGTGGTCCTCTGGCCTCCCATCCTACGCCGCCTCTGCCCATTCACACTGGCCTCCTTGCTGTTCCCCCTGCCTCAGGGCCTTAGCACTAGTGGTTCCCTTTCCTGGAATGCTCTGGTTTGCAGCATCACCTCCTTTTGGTTTTGCTCAAATTCTGACCACTCCTTTAAAACTACATGATTCCCCACCAGGCATTCCCATCCCTCTTCCCTGCTTTGCTTTCATCCGTAGCCCCTCCTAGCATGCTGTATAAGTTAGCTATGTTTATCATCCACCCGCAGCCCGGGAATGAGCATTCCAGGGCACAGGGATTTTGTCTGTTGTGTTCCCTCCCCGAACCCTGGTGCTATGGACAAGTCACTGTGGCATCCTTAAATCTTTCCAGCCCTCCACACTTCTTGTTTTTGTTAGTCTTACAGGTCCCCACAGTGAGTCAACAAAAGTCTAAAATGCAAAGGCTCTCTAGGTGTATTTGGGGGAACAGCAAGGAAAGTAGAGAAGAATCCACAGAGACCTTGTCTTACCTTGAATGGGCACTATGGAGAGAGGAACCTCCCAAGTAGAGTCAGTCCTTTTAAAGATGAAAAGAAAGTCCCCTCAGAGATGGGGTGTGTGACAAGACAGCAGATGGTTTTGGGGCAATGGCCTGCTGTGGAGAGGAGACTTGTGGGTTCCCCTCTGTTGGAGTGCAGAATGTTTTGAAGACTTCCAAAGATGCCATCGATTTTCCCAGTGGGCCAAGTCTCTAGAAAGGAAAAGGAATCCATGGGCAGTCACACAGGCAGGTTAATCACTGCAACCCAGCATCGGCCTGTTGCCTTTTTGGAGATTAAATACCTGTTGATGTCTTCCCTGTTGTAAGCCTGGGTGTAAGAGTTCAGTACCTGAGCACATACCGGCAACATCACGGCCTGAGATGCTTTTGGCCCAAGCTGTCCTGTACTCCACTCCTTTCATACAGCTGCTGCTTGGAGTTCTTGAGCTGCAGCAAAGGATGGCCGTTTGGGGAACTCATACAACACTTTAGAATTTAACACCTGGATGCTGGAGGGAGTTAATGGTTATGGGATGAAGTCTCCCCGAAACTGCTTGTCAGCCATGGGAAGGCCCCCTTCTCCTCCTCCTCTCTTTTCGGTGGCTTAGGTACTGCTCTAGGCAATCTGAATTATCCACCAGGAGAGTGTCACTCTAAAACAAAAAAAACAAACACAAAAAAGAAACGCAGCCTCCCTAAAACTGCTTTTGATTTGTAATAGAAATGACTCAGTAGCTAGGACAGGGGCTTATACACAGCTCATTAAAACAGAGAATTTTAATCAGTATTTCTGCCCTTTGCAGCCTGGGCATTTGGAAGTCCAGGCTGTGACTGGGCAGCTGTTCTCTGGGTTTCAGTCTCAAGTCATATCACATACTTTTGGCTGCTCTCTTGTCTCAGAAAACAAGTCCAAAGTGAGTTATTTCATCCTATTTCATCAGCCTCCCACCCGAGTTTCAGAACTGCCGTTTTCTCCAGCCAGTCACTGTATAAGGTCGAGCAACCTTTCTTATAAAGGTTTCCCTTAAAATAGTTAGATCTTTGTATTTTACCTAAATTTTATGCTGTTTTTTAAAAATTCTATAACACTTGCTAATCTCATTTTCAACATGAGTACTAAAATGTGTTAGTTTTGTTCTTTGAAACAAAAGAACAGGGAGAAACATTGTAATCCCTCGAATAAAGAAAGTCTTCCATAGCTTTGGGACATACTCTCAGAAGGAATGCTTACAAATTCCCCATCTCTCCCTGTCCTTTCACTCTCAGTTCCTGCCCTTGGCTCTACCTGTTGTCACTGCCTCCTTGATGTCCTTCAAGGAACCCCTGCTCCCACCCCTCATAAAGATCACCTGTGATTGCCCACACCCAAATCCACAGCTGTTTGTCAGATTTCATTCCTGAAGGCTCAGCAACATCTGACCCTATTGACTCGTACTCCTTGGAATGCTCCCTGTCACAGCTCCTTCCTACAGCACCTGACCTCTCTGTCTGCATCCTTCCTGTTCTGTGGAGAGAGGTGAGAGGGCGAGAAGCAGAAGAGTTTGAGTGTGGGCTTTCTCCAGGGTTGGAATCCCTGCTCTAGCACTTGCTAACCGGGTGACTTTGAGTAATTTAACACTGCTGTACTTCTGTTTCCTCATTACTAAAATGGAAAGAAGAGTAGCTATGTCATTGGCCTGTTAGGAAGCAGATGAAATGATTGTGCTTAGTCAAGAGTGAGCCCTCAGTAAATGTCACCTTTTATCATTTTGATAATTTCTGCTTAGATACCTTTGAAGGCTAAAAACCCTAA